CATGGCTCAGAAAATGCGAGCCATGGATCAGCTAGTAGCATCGATCGGTGAAGATGCCTGCTGTTTGTTCATCAGATGGGCACCTGATGAACGACTTGGAGCGTTCGCAAGCGTGTGGATGTACTACGAGTGAAAGCGATGTCCTCAGCTGTGGTACTGTCGTACGTACAATGCACGAGTTTACAGTGTAGAAGGCCACTACACTGTGAAACCAGCTTCCGGCACCTGTGTAAAGAGACAGGCTGCGCCGAAGGGTAAGCACTCGAAGAGATCGAGTAAACTAGAACACGGATGCATACCAAGAAGGGTGCATCCGAGAAGAAGATATACAAGTGGTGTTCAGTATGAACATCACGTTGAAGCGAGATCGACTATCAGAGAGTCGATCGTAAAGCAAACACGGTTGACTGCAAGAGATTCGATCGAAGAGAATATGACTGTGGAAGTGCATCCACTGTCAGAACACGTATTAATCGAAAGTTCCAGCGTTCCTGAGAGTGGTAACTCTCGAGAAGGTTATGATAAGGGTGTGTTTCCCCAACTACCTGAGGATGGGTTTTCACAGGAAAGCGCCGAGAAGTGAATGTCTTAATGAATAACGGATTAAGTGTAGGCGCTCATACACTTATTCTGGTTACACCTCCGAAGTAGTCTTTGGAGGTAATCGAGTTGTCACCGCTTGAATGTAAAAGATTTTTGCAAGATCTGCGTAGTGATAGGATCGAGCATATCTGCGTACTCGTCGCAGAGGACGAGTACGTTGCCGATACTCAGTCGACACAAGTGTTTACTGAAAAAGAACGGGTTCTCAGTAGCTCATCGATAGAAGAAAGTGTCCCTGATGAAAAGACTTGGATTGAACGACAAACATCTTACTTTCGTGATTCGCTTGAGGCAAATCCTAACACACAGTTTTGATCGAATTCACGGACGTGTTACCGGAAAACGAACCATGCAAATTGCCTAAGGCCAAAGGCACTCGACAGGAAATCGAGCTTAAAAAGGGCTAGAAATACTGTGTCATGAAGCAGAGGCCACTGCCTTTTGATCAAGTACTAGCGATCGACAATTTCTTTACCGATCGCTTTGCAGCGTGCCATGCGAGAGAAACAACATCTTGACCTACCTCTGTTACCTTCTGTTTGCGCAAGGCCGCAGGAAGGTGGATAGTACATAATGTTAACTTGTTAAATGCTGCAACTGTACCATCTCTAAAAGCCGCTAACGAAGAACGACGTTATTATCGATGGTGTGTCAAAGAGTACCATCTTTCTGTCCATGGATCTGATGAATGACTTTTATCAGATCCTCATGCGTGATCAGGATATCCCGTACACAGCAGTGAGCACCCCCAGTGGTATGCTCTGGGAGTGGCTAGTGATGCCACAGGGGCTAAGTAACGCCCCCGCAACGTTTTTAAGATGTGTTACGAATCTGTTGTGATCGGTGCGCGATTTTTCACCGAGTTACTTCGACGATGTCTTGGTCCATAGAAAGGATATGGATAGAAAGTTGGATGTGGGGGTTCATGTAATCCACGTCCGGAAGGTTCTTACACTTATGCGAGAGCATAAGTTGCTTGCGAACCTCAAGAAGTGTATCTTCGCAGCAAACGAAATACCACTTCTTGACCGCATCGTGGATAAAAACGGTGTACGCCCTGGTTCGGAATAGATCGAGGCGATTAGCGACTGGCCTGTGCCAGTCGACGTCAAGGGACTTCGAAAGTTCCTTGGTTTGGCGGCGTACTTGCACAAGTATTTGCGCAACTACGCCGATATGACCGTTCATCTCTCTTGTTTGATAATGAAAAACAAGAGTTGGTCATGGAGTTCTGAGTGTCAGCAGTCCTTTGAAGGTATCTAGAAAAGCTTGGTAGAATCGCCTGTGATGGCGATTGCAGACCAAGAAAGACCATTCCACGTAGTCTGTGACGCCAGCGATTTTGCAATAGGCTGCGCGTTAATGCAGTATGACTCAGACGGCGTTGGGCGCGTCTTCTGTTATCAATCGCGTCAGCTGCAGGCAGCTAAGTGTAACTACCCAGTGTATGACAAGGAACTACTTGCCATATAATATGCACTGGCTAAGTTTCGGGTGTATCTCTTAGGAGATAGGCCTTTCATCGTTTATACCGACCATGCGTCGCTGCGCACGGCCGTCAACATTCCACATCTCTCGAAACGAATGGCGAGGTGTCTGTCTTTCTTCGCGGAGTACAACTTCTCCGTCGAGTATAAACCAGGACGACTTAATGTTCGTCTATGACGCTCTTCTCGTCGGCCCGATTTCTTGCTTACTGCGCAACTCAACTGTAGGGGTGATCCCACTGTTTCAATACTATCAGTGCCTGTTCCGTTGTTGAGTCTGCTCGACGACGTGAAGAAGGCATACGCAGAAATGAGTCTGTGGTGGAGTAGGGATCGCTCATTTCTTGAGACGATCCCGACTGAACGGTAAATTTTCTTGTGACCGCTTTGCCACGAGTCTCTTCTGCGATTGATGAATTACGTATTAAATCCATGCATACAAGCCTTGAAATGCTTGACGTCTCTATACCGCTCCTCAACCGAACTACATTCGGTTCGTAATGAACTGCTGTACTGTACAGCAGCCAATTGCGACACACCTCGTGTCGTCGTTCTTGCTCATAATTGTTTGCGACTGCGCATTATGTGTGATGTCACGATACCCCAGCGACTGGATATCGCGGTAAAGAAAAGACTTACCTCATGGTAAGTCGTGACTTCTACTGGCCGCGCCATTACGAGTTATTGCGCAGATACTTCCGTATTTGCCAAGTTTTCCAACGGGTGAGGACGAGTCCTTCGTCCGTGCACCCTTTCAGCCTCTACCGATTCCGGCAGAGTGTTGGCAGTCCGTATCGATGGACTTCGTCTTTAGGTTTCCCAAAGACGCTCACCAGAATACTGGTATTCTTGTGTTTGCTGATCGGTTCAGCAACATAGTACATCGTGTTGCTGTACAGGAGTCTATCACAGCCCAGGGCTGTGCGCGTGTCGTCATCGATACTATCTTCCGACTCCATCGGTTACCCTATGAGCTCGTGTCTTATGCGTACCCCTGCTTCACAGCAGAGTTCTGGCAATCCGTGTTCCGTTCACATAGAATACGGTTAAAGATGTCAACTTCTGACCATCTTGCAATAGATGGTCAGATAGAATCGTCAACCGCGTCCTTGAAGAGATACTTCGAGGGTACGTCCACTCGTTTACGAGTTGAAGTAATCCTTGCCGATGACGAGTTTCGTCATCACAAACTCGGTGCATGCATCGACAACAAATACACCGTTCTACCCGAATGACATACGCTATCCACGTTTACCTGCCTTCTTAGAGTGTGAATCTTGTTTACAAGAGGGGTAGACTCGCTCGAATAAAAACGGTTCTGGTTATTGCTCATCACACGACGACAATAGTGTCGACATGATGGATGCCGACGTTGATCACATCGACATCGATGATGATGATGACGACGATGCTGGTATATTCAGCATCGTCAATGAATGCTACAGCGAGGACGTGGACGCCCTCACTGGTGAAAACAACGTTCTTTCAGCAGTTTACACGAAGCGCACGGCCGTTGACAAGGATGAATCAGCAGAGGGATTTCTGCTGACTCGCGAAGCGGTTGCCCGCTTCGTTCAAGACTTTATTGCAGATGCAATAGACAGAAACAAAAGATACGAAGAGAAGCATGAAAGATCAAATATTCTTAAATTTGATGAAGGAGTTTAGTATTGCTGTCCACAGTAAATACATCAAAACACGTAGTGACTAACGTGGGCAGCAGTAGATTACTGCCCAGGTATATCGGCCAACTTCGTGTGTTGCGCCAGACGGGCACGCATGCACGATTGAAGTGTCTCGTAGAATGCGTACACATCCTACGATTTATTTCGGACATCTCCGCCCGTACTATTAATACAATCTAGTTTCGAGAGGCGAAGCACACCTCCGCGATCAAGGGCCAAGACCAACTTCGAGTGATCCCGTTTCGAGGAGACAGTCTGGTCGACTAGCGAAGCGACCTGCTCACGCAGTTGAGAGATGTCCTATAGAGCTGCAGTCAGCTCTTCACGAAGAGAACGAATCGAACCTTCGTTATCAAGTTGTGCAAACGTAAACGCGGCACGATCTTTAGAACGATCGTGCATTAGGTAATTGTAATCATCCTTTACAAGATCATGGAGCTCATAACTCCGAGTCCGTTCATGAGCCAGGTCGTCTTGTAACTGATCGATTGCACAATTTAATTTCTGAAGATCAAGCTGATCCGACCCTCGAATCATATAAGGTATTCCCGCCTTCACCACCCATATGATGGATTCTATCGGTGGTCAACGCTTCCTAGTGGAGCGTATTTTGAACCGCCGCTACATGAATGGCGTCTGGACGAGTTACCTCTTTCGCTGGCGTGGCTACCCACCGGCATAAGACAACTGGAAACCTCGCTCACAGCTGATCGTTAATGTTCTGGGTCTCGTCGAGCAATATGACGAGACCCGTTCGCTGCGTGCAAAATAGGGGCGGCGGAAAACGACCTCCCCGAACGCGAGTATTTGGATTGCAAAGTTTTATTTACTTCGGCCATCCCAGAAGAGATGCGCGCCCTCCAGTAGGGAACACTAGGAAGGGAATATTTCTTAGGTGCTCGATTCGCATTGTCCAAGCAACCTGGACACGAATCACCCCACGAGAGACAGGGTAGTCCTGCCGATCTTGACAGTCGGTGCAACTTGTATTTTACAACAGCTAGGTTACGTTGTTAAACCTGATGCGAGCAGCATCAAGTCTACCGAGCCAGGCCTCACGGCCAATACACTCGATGTAATGAAGAAGGCATTTCATCCCTGCACCAAGGCCTTACCGTTTCTGCCACTGTTGTCTTTGTACCACCGATGCTTGTAGAACACATCGGTGAAGAACTGTCCCTCGTTACAGGTAGTACCCGTGATGGAATTAGGAATACATACTCTCCTACAGTCGATCAACGTGATTCGATCCCGTTCGGTGTTCATACCGGCCACTCGATCCACCTCCTTGGATGATGGCATCCAAGAAGACTTCACTTGAGGAGCATGGCGCAGGACATTGCGGTCTCCTGACTTTTGATGGTGTCAGCATGAGCGCTGACACCAGCATCTGCTCGATCCCATGAGTTGCTTCACCCGTGGTGACATATATGTGCGTCACCACCATCATTACGCGTTCTAGTTCAGATGAACTTGCGTGAGACGAGGATCCATCAGACGGTTCGCTCGGTCCGAAGACCTCAGCCATGATAGCGTCGTGTTAATTAGAGCCAGTCAAACTGGCTTTGAGAGTGTCCGTCCTGGATGATCCGGAGGCAGGAGGCGCCGCCTTCGATTCGGACGCATCATCCGACTCGCCAGAATAGACGAGCTCTATTCCTGGCTCATTCCATCCACACTGCGAGTCACAGCACCCGCTGCAGACGCATCACATCGCGTATACTTTGACATTATGCGATGAATTGGCAAATGAGTTGAAATTTGACCAACATGTGCTCCACGCGATGTGTTGCCGAAGCATCCAGAAAGGCGCTCGCACGCATGCGTGCATCCGAAGAGAGTTCTTCTCTTGCTTCATCAGCAAGTGATCCTTTGCATGCTGTCGGCAGCACATCGCATGGACTTTACACCATGCAATGAATCGGCGTGTGAGTTGAAATTTGATCAACAAGTGCTGCCTTTTCCAGAGTGATCTAACGGTGATCACCCTGTCTTAGTTAATTCAAATTAATTAACGGGTAGTTAATATCTAGGGGGGTGATGTAACAGGGTAATTTGTTGCATGATATTAACACCAAACGGTGTCAATAGGGAGATTGTCTGGCGTGACAATCGCCTGCCAATATTATCCGAGGTGGGTTATATTGAAGGAATTCTACACCCTTTGGATAATGTTCATGTGCTGCTCAAAAATCGGTTGATAAAGACATACCATCCAAGACTATCACCAATCGCTGCTAGGCACGCATAATTAGTGGTGAGCAGGTTTTCGTCAGACGACAATGTAGATTGATATAGTTAGATAAAGATTAAAATTATAATGATAGCTTAACTATATTAAATACATTTCTGTTTTTATCTTTACTCAAACTAGCTGTTTGAATCGATTATCTGCCTCAGCAAGTACTAGTGTACCTCAGCAAGTACTAGTGTACATGCACTTTCGCGGCATTCCGTTGCACTAATGGCATTTTCTCGGCGGTGTAAACGGCTTTCTTCTAACTGCCGAATGGCCGTGCTGGTAAACTTTACCGCAGATCCAAATGGAACAGCAAAATATCGTCCTTAACAACAGTAGCTGCCATGCCAGAGGAGGAAGGTGAGAGGGCTCAACATCATAGTAAGAATGATGAGGGGTCATTGACGAAGAAACGGTCGAAAACTACGGCCGGTCGCTTAACCACTATTGGCAATACAATAATCAGGTCTAATGAATTGCCGGCACAGTTTGGAACGGGCAAAGAAAAAAAACAAGCTAGTGTATCCTGGCAAAAAAGTTAGTGTATTAAAAGTCTTCCTCTTCTGTCCTACTGACATTGTCAATCATTGCGACCGTCAATTGACACTGCCGGACGGATGCAGCCACGACCGATGGAACGGTGTGTTTCGCTGGGAGGTTATGACAGAATAACTACTACTGGACGATTGTCTCCGCACGCAGCTGCGATTTGTCCGTGATTGGTCAACCTCGTGTGGAACCAGTAATCGGGGCCGTTGAGCATTCGTTCGTGGGCCGAGATTCCCGTCGCGACTTGCGGCTTGGAAAAACTCTATATGGATGAAAGACTTGGTCCAAACCGTGAAGGTGGCACTTGGACACGCATCACGCTAAAAGAATCACCACCTTTTTGTCGATCTTCCGTGCAATCTTGTACACGCAACTCTTGTATCTTGGCATTCGCACAGGAGTCTGTTGTGTACAAATTCGTACTCTCACAGTCGCAGATGCAATCTACTCCTTGCTGTTAGCGTCCGTGCGTCACTTGAAATGTGTGATCCACTTCTGCGATGTGTAGCGTGCTCTTCACGACCACATGAGCTACAGAGACAGCGCGACCCCATCCGTGGAATTGTAAAGGAGGGACAACACCGGCTGTCATCCATAAGATCGGACTGCATAGAGCATGCAGCATATGACCGAAGAGAAATACATGCACCACGTAATCAGCATTTTTGGGGGGTTTGTTTTCGCTCGGCGATGGTGCTTTTGTTCATTGTGCTTTTCTCCTGCTCGGAGTCACGGCAGTACAGAACAACCATGAGGACTGGCGCTTTCTTGTACGCCTTACTGCTCGCAGCTTTGGCCCCTGCTGCGAGCCCACAGGAGTGTGGGAAAGACACGCTTGGTCACAACAGAGTGGAGGCGTTTGATCAGCAGGACCCCGTGACAGAGGTCGAGAAGACTGCCGTGAGACTCAATCCGACGATCTTCGTCGGTAAAGGATGCGCGCCGTATCCTGCAGTGAATTATCGAGGTCAACTGAGTGAAGGTCTCAAACCTACGGGACCTGACGATGGCAATTGCAGGGGATCCAGGCATGGCTCCCAAGTCTACGGACGTGCAACCCAGTACAACACAAAGTGGGCTTTCATGTTTGCATTCTATTCGCCGAAAATCCAAGGAAAGCTTCATAATGCTCGCCACGACTGGAACATTGCCCTTTTCTGGATGAACCACCTTAAAGAAGCGGAGAAGATTGACGTCCTGGTGTTGATGAATTATCGCTGCGGGCTATCCCAAAAATCAAAATTTGAGCCTTACGAAATGGACGGTGACCGCGTCAAACTCGCCTTGGGTGGTGATGATCTCACACTGGAGGTGACCTCAGGGAACGGTGGTCGCACCCTCCCATTGATCATGTGGGAGCAGCTGACGGACGAAGCGCGCAATGCGCTTAATTGCACCACGTGGGGCACCGATTTCAAGATGCCGTTAGTCGATGACGAGTTCCATTCCATTTTGGAGAAGACTTGGCATGTGATTTAGTGATCCGGCTAACGCAGTTCGCAGTGCTGCATCCAGCGCGCCTGCCATTTTTGTCCTGGCATGTGTGGTTTCTCTCCGAACGCTATGGTGCAACCTTGCTGCCGTAATTTCATAGCTGATCGAGTAGCGTTACATTACATGACAAAATCGCTTTACATTGAAATTTGTCGTCGTTTTTTGGGTGATCTCGTGATCTTCTGGCTTTCAATCCTAAAGACCTGTAGTGACTTCGGTCTACAGCTATTGAGCTGCGTATAGCAAGTAGCACACGTGCAAGTTGCTGCTCAAGCACGAGAGGTTCAGGTCTATCGTGCGGAATCGCGCAAAAACCAACATAGATGCTGCAGGCTATCGGATCAATCCCGCTTGCTGTGTCTTTGTTTCCAATGCACTATGAATGTGTACGGTGAGCCTGAACGGCTTCTTTTCAAATTGACACCCCTGGTCCACGCTCTGATGTATGGTCCTAGTGTCACGCTGGACTAGTTTGAGCAAACGTGACACATCCCTAGCAAAGACCTTTTCCTCGGCAACATTTTCATAATTTTTGAAACACTTCCTCGTAGTATGCTGCACTACAGAGTGGAACTTATGACCTTCGGTGCTGCCACGTTGTTATTCGATGCAGCGATACCAGCAACCGCCTGTAAGCTCTACGATATGCAGTTAGTCTCCGTAATTTAGTATACTCTAAGTTAATAATCTTCCTTACTTGATAAAGATGTTCGAGTCCCATGAAAGGCCCAGGCCAAATATTAGAAAATTATCTTGATTTACATTTTAAAGCCAAAGAAATTTCCGCCCTTCAAATATTAAACTACTGCCGGTAGGACCACTACAAAAAATTTCAAGCTTGTTGCTTGAGGGAATTTTGATAATTAATTTACCACCTGATCCTGCCTCTTCTAGATTATCCTCGGAAAAACCTCTCCAGTCTCCTGCTGCAACCATAAAGCCTTTGGCTCTGCAAGCTTTAATGCAGCATTAAGAATCGGGACGGGCGATACGGCTATTCAGTCACCCTCCTTGCGAACACGTGTAGCACCCTTCGCTTCAACCCTTTCCCTCCTAACTCTACTATTTAATAATTCCCAAATTAAATTAAAATTTGGGGATGCCAGCTATATTAAATAAGGGAGACTCTATTTGCATTTTAAAATGATCTGGGTGAAACACTTACCCCCACCAAGTTCTCGTCCATCACCCTTATATGTTACCGTAACTTACTTAATTTACGCATTCTGATTGGTAGAATTGACGATATATCTCGGCTCTGAGAATTCATTCAAGAGAAGGGAGCAAGCTCTAGATTTCGCCCTTTGACTAAAGTAATTCAGTTCACATGAACTTATTTATTTTACATATATACGTACCTTGTGCTATACCACTGATAGCTTCACCCCTTGGCCTCGCAATGAACTGTTTAGTCGTGAGACACGTCGTCGATGATCAATGCGTAAGACATCGCTGTTTCACAAAGGGCGTGTCCCAAAGATTAAATTGATGATGTAACGGGGTGAGCCTGCTACATGTAATTGACCTTAATACTTGTTGCTTGGAATGTTGTCATAAAGTTGATAATGTTCGTGGATATTACCTTGAGGGGTAATATTTATAAACACTCATCGATTGGATGATATGGGACATCATATCAGCCAGCTCTAGCGGTCCAAACAACGATGGACTGTGCAATAAGTGGTGAGCACAATTTAAGCCTATGTTTTTGTACTGAAATATAATTAATCTAGGACAAAAACATTAACAAATTGTAACGGGGTGCCTCCGTTACAGGATAGTTCACGTAAGGTAATTATCAAGTATGAAAATTGTGTTAAGACAGACACATTATTTTCACAGTACTAGAAATTATTGCCTCGCAGATGTAACACATTGCTCATTGGTGCATATAAGATCGAGATATCAACCAAAAAAGTCTAGCCAGGACAGAAGCACGCAATGAGTGGTGCGCAGAGTTGTAATGCTTGTTTTTATAAAAGCGGAAGTAAACGAAGTCAAAAAAAGATGCATACAATGGATGAAGCATACTGAATAAAGCTCTAAATATTTACCTTTGCTGAGTACTCGCACTCTGTGTATTAATTTTCCGCTGCGCGTGCGTGTACGTAAGATAGGGCGGACGCGCACACACTTTTACGGTCAGCAATGCAAAACATATTCCGTTTGCTGAATAAGGTGTTCCCGTTACATTGATGACCAGGAATTAGTTATACTAAATACAGTTTAACCTTTACCAGCAACTAGTCCGTTTCCCGTTTGCATTCCCTTCCTACGCCTTATTACCGAGGTATCGAGGCACCACACACGCTGATGTTGGTGAGAGTAGCTCCACACTAGTTGTCTAGTGTGTTGCTCCGGCGCCCCTTTACACCTGGTATCAATTTGTAGTCTTTGAACGGATTACAAAACCCGTTCAACATAAACTCGTAATACGATGAAGGCGACGACACCTTTAACGGTAACCGTAACAATGCTCCTATTTGAGTAATGTTCAATGTAGTGCGGTCGAACGAGTGAGATTGAACAAATTAAAAGCTGTGTGGTCTCTACTATATTCAAGGGATATGGACCAGCAGCATTCTGTAATTGCCAAGTTCATTTAACGGTAACATAACGCGGCGCGAGCTAAAGTGACTCTACTGCGTCAGCACGGTCTCCATCCAATTGATCTCCTAAGACATCCACAGTCTCAGTCTGCTTCTGTAGCAGTGGCAAGTGAGCTTCGACGCGAGACTCATACGTTATAAGTCTCCAAGTTCCGGGGAGTCGAGGAAGACTCCCTGTTAAAACGGTTCCTCGGAGTGGACGATTCCATGAAGGCTTGCAACATCGACGATGAGGACTGCAAGTTTCGTATGCAAAATTGAATCTGTCAGGGCGTGCTAGAACTTGGGCACTGAATCCTCAATTGAACAATCCGAACGTGTTTGGATTGCTGGCGGTCTTTACGACTTTGCCCATCAAACGTTTAAGCCGCCATGATCTGAGTTCAGGACTCCTTCAGAGCTTACAAATATAGAACAAGGTAAGCTTGACGCTTACACTTACTTGCAGCACGTTTCCTACCTTTTTAAGTTGCATGGTAGCGAACCCTGTAAGCGAATTCTTGTTAATCATGATATGCCCGAGGGGCCATACATATGGTTCTGTGGGTAACTTCCTTTTCAAGATCGAGTTGGTGTAGCACGAGGAAGCGATTACAACTGCTGTACAGGAGTACGTTAGTGTAAGACAGGATCAAACTATCCGACCCCCCCCATCGTCTTTCGAGACGAGTTGCGGGCGACGTTTAAACAATTTGTTTCTCTGCAGTGTCAAGAGCTGGAGAGCTCGCTCTTTAAGTAGAAGCGATTGCGTGCAATTGCTGTCATAATTTAGGACACTGTGCCTACGAGTGTAGTGCGTCACGCTCAGCGTCTTAAAACACTGAGCGAAATGATCGAACTTCTGCCAAGAGGGGCAACGAACACGTGCTAGACGCTTTTGCGAAGCCACAACAGCGTAGAGGACTGTACATAACGGTCAAGGTTAGAGGAGCGGGTCGCCCTACTCATCGAGCAAACTCAATGGAATTTGCAAACCTCTGGATGAAAGTTGCTTCAAACTCAAAATTCTTGTGCGACTCAGCACTTGTTTATGAGGCACTCCTCATCACCTTTAAATTAAAGTGGCCAAGAATTGTCACTTTGTGTCTTAAGTTGACTGAGGGGTGTTGAACAAATTAACTCCTCGCCAGTCGCTAGAGTATTGTAGGCTCAAACTTGTTAGGCCTACAATACTCTAGGCGCGATACCCCTTCGACGAACCTTACGGTGCGCCCAGCAACAGGCCTATCGATATCAGTAATAAACGTGTAGTGGGATTTCCCTACACATCTAAAGATTTTTGCAGTACAATGGTAAATTCATCGTACTTATTTTTAATGACAATTTGGTGTCATTCTAGAGTTGCTTAAGCTCAGAAGAAACGAGCAAAGGGTTAACTGGCAGCATCAAACCGTACAATGCCTGTCAGTTTTTCATCGGATGTCTATCTGGTGAACGTCTAGGAGCTTCCAGAAGCGTGTAGATGTACTTCAACTAATAGCGATGGCCTCACTTGCGGTACGGTCATAGTACTACTGCACAAGATCACAGTGTGACAACTAAACTTACCGTGGAGGAAGCTGCCGGCGGCTATGTGAAATCATATAGATCGGGACATAGTTGCACGCCTAGCGGACGACTTCCGAGTAAAAAAATTAGTTGCCCACACATGGCAACACGATGTTCCTAGATCGGCTGGAGAGTCTTTTTTATAGGACTTACCTGCGGTAGCGCAACCATAGCTAAAAACGATGAGGGAATAAGTCCCTGTGTACTTAAGATAGAAACTTTTTAGTATATATTGGTCATGTAACGGGACCTCATCAACCGAAGGAAACAAGTCCTTATCAGCCTGTGGAAAGAGATTTCGAGGAAGAAACCGAGACGTTGAATGTCTCAATGAATAACGGGTAAAAAAGGGTAAGCGGTTATACACTTAATCTAGTCTTGCCTGCGAAGCTGACTATTGAGATCACTCAGCTTCCAACGCTATAACCGAAACGGCTCTTGCGATATATGTATAGTGGAAAGGTCAAGAAGATCTGTGTACTTGTCACAGAGAAGAGTAAGTCACCGACATTCGGTTGGCAGTATCATTTGACGAGAACTAACGGGTTCTCAGCAAATCATTGATGGACGAAATTGTCCTCGATGAGAAGACTCGGATTGATCGTTATACCTCTTAGTCTTAGGAGTAGCTACAGGCAATCCTTACATACGGATTAGATCTATATCAAGGACGTGTTCCCTGAATCCGCGCACCCGAGTTGCCTAAAAATTAGGGCAATCGACATGAAATCGAGCTCAAACTGGGCTAGAAGTACTGTGTCATGAAGCAGCGGACACTGCCTCATTATCAAGCACTTGTGATCGACAATTTTTTTTGCAATTCTTTTG